GAGTGGGGAGCAGAACAGGCAGATCGATGAAGTACACTGCTGAGGGGAGCAGTGGGTGGGTCAGGAGAGGTCTGCCACGCCATGTGGTCACCTCCGGGGCAATCGAACTCATGCAGAAGTGGCTTTAGCTTCTCAGTGTTGTGCTTTAACCCGCTGCGCCACCAGGGAGGGCTATATTTGTCTTTTTAAAAGCTTCTTATAATGCTTCTTGTCACAACCACATATATGTTTTTTCCTGGCAGAAAGAAAAAAAAATCATTTTTTCTCACTTTAAGTGACTAATTCATTCTTCTGCTGTTTTAGTAATTCTTCATGAATCTTAGAGTGAGAAAATACAGGAAAGGTCTTTTCTGGTTTTAAACATATGTCTTAAGGTTTAGCTAGAACACAGCATTTCTTACCTAAAAAATGTTTTTTTTTATAATACTATGCGCCTTACTTTTATGACCTATGGTTTTATAAGAGTTTGTCACTGGTGTACACATAATGAGTGGAAGATTTCTTGTCTGAAATAACCAGGTCTAGTCTTAAAGATGAGACCTCACTGTGCATATCTTTCTCTCACTTATGTGACACTATCTGTAAATTGAACAGTAGAGGAGTAAGTGGTGCTGTTTACACCAAAAAACCATTAATATTTTATACCATATAATTGATGTTTGAAAGATTAAATGTTAAAAATTGTGTCTATATAGTATGCAAGTCTCTCTTTGGCTTCATTGAGATCATGAAATTGTTTCTGTTTGTGTTTATGAGTTTACTATAAGTCTTGAAATTTAATGTCTGTTGTGTTTTCTTTTATTCTAGGATAAACTTCTGTATAATCCATTCCTTAAAATGTGCCTTTCAGCAAATGGAGAGCATCCAAGTTTAGTATCATGCAATCCATCAGATCCACTCCAAAAATGGATTTTTAGCCAAAATGATTAAGTGTTCCTTAAAATTAAGGAGTTGAAATAGGAGATATTCTTTCTCATAAAACTGTGACTAGGCATATACACTGTAGTTTTTGAAATTATGCAGAAGCAGCTAATTGTAACTTATTCCAAGTGCATTTTTCTTATTTATATCTTCAAATGCCTACATAGCACTACTATAGAAATCCTTTAAGGTTCCATTTCAAAGCACAATAACTAGTAATACCAAAGACTATTTTGAAATGTCCAGATGTAGGGAAAGAGATGTTTACAATATGATGAAAATAACTTTCCAAGTAAAGTGTGTTTTGTACTCTTGAGATATACATAGCTATATTCACATACAATTGAAAATATTCCTTCTAGTTTTATGAGGGGAGGGAAAATATTTGATACTGTATTTTTTTAACTACATTGAAATAGATCAATGAAAGTAAGACATTGGTCTTTGTGTACAAACCAGGAAAATTTTATAGATCTAGAATTTATTATATAAAAATTTAGGTCAACATTTTTGCCTTTTGTTACTTATCTGTTAAAATGTTTTCTTATATATGAAATAAAATTAATGATAAGAGAAATATTTTTAACCACTTCAATATCTTGTCAATTTTTTAGATATTTTTTAGTTTGAAGTCCCCTTGAATTGAAGCACTTGTCTTCCTTAAATTACTTTTCCTAAACAACTATACTGTGTGTTCCCAAAGCAATTAAAAAAAAAACTATAAATGACTATCTGTTAATAGGTATCTTTTTCCTTTCTGCTAGTCTTTTTTCATATCAGAATTCACTGATCTTGAATGTTTGTAAAAATGAATTTCAGTCGTAGAATACTTACTTAAAGCTACATTTGTTACTGATTCAATTATAGATTGTTTTTGTAATGATTCTTTTTTCTCATCAAAAAACCCTATTTCTATCTATGTGGAAAACAATAAAAATCTTATCATTATTGTAATTATTTGTTTTAGGTTTTTTCTCTTTTGCATAAAATATATAATTAATAGTGGGTAAAGGCAGCATGAATATTGTGTCCTGAATTTCTTAGCACCAATTATAGCCAATTGTAGAGCCATTGGGTACTACTTCTTTTTTTGTTGTTGTTGTTAAAGATTTATTTAAAAAAAAAAGATTTATTTATTTATGCACAGAGAACTGGGGTACAGGCCAAGGTGCAGGGTGGTGAGAGGATTCAACAGAGACAGAGTGGGGAGCAGAACAGGCAGGGTGATGAAGTACACTGCTGAGGGGATAAGTGGGGGATAGGAGAGGTCTGCTGCGCCATGTGGATCATCTCTGAGGCAGACATCTAACTCTCAACAGAAGTGCCTGAGTCTTGTTTGCAGGGCTGTACTTTAAACCATTGAGCCACCAGGGAGGGCCCCCTCATGAACTGATTTTTTAAATGTAGTACTTGCTTAGGAGATTTACCAATTTTTTTTTTCCTTTTAATCATTTTATATATAGGTCTCGTGCATCCTTATTTAAGAAGTATGATACTAGGGGGCCTCCCTGGTGGCACAAAGAAAGTTATAAACAGTCACTGCAGCAAGTTATAAACAGCCACTGCAGCCTCTTGATCCTTGGCCAGGGAGCTCAAGACCTCTCCTGTCTTGCCTGCTGCTCCCCTCAGCAGTGTATTTCTGTCAGTCTGCCTGTTCTGCTCTTACTCTGTCTTTGTGGAATCCTTTCTCCCCTACCCCTGCATCTTTGGACTGTACCCCAGTCTTATGCGTATAACAAAATAAATCTTAAAAAAAAATTTTTTTGTTTGTTTTTTTTAAAAAGAAGGTTTGATATTAGTTTCATATTTTAAACAGGGCAGAGCCTTGATTTTTAAAAGAATGATTTTGGGCTGGGGGCGCATCATTTAATTGTATATAAGTTTGACCTTGTTTTTAAAACCCATGTTTTAAAAACTTTGTGCTAGAAGTTATGATCCTAAGAGTGAGCAGAAAGAAAGACAAATGCTTTGGAGAAAGCATAGTTAATGATAACATGATGTTCCATTATACAGTGTATAAATAATGTAGTGATGTATAATGATGTAGATGACTACTCTTCATATTATTTACTATGTAAAAATATTTATTACTATAGCTAATACTAATAAGTATTGTGAAATTTATATTAATACTCACATGTAAAATTTTAGTTTTTTAATTTGTTGCTCTAGAGTTACTATCCTAGAGCAAATATCACTGTTTCATCTTAACTAAACGATTCTAAAATCCTCACGCATCATTTATAAATTAGGTTGGCATTAAACATCTAAAACAAAACAAATCGAAGTGACCTTGCATTAGTCACTTGTTGCCTTGTCAAGATCCAACCAAAATCTATTATTATTACTAAGTTAAATGTATTCAAAAGGGGTGTCCTTTTCATCTGATTTGGGGTTAGGCTGTTGTTTAAGTATCATATCTTCATTTCATTGGGGATTTGCCTTTTGGGGTGGGTTGTGTCTTTTGAACAGTCCATATTTTGGAACAATGCTAGAAGAAAGTTATTTTTAGAGCCTGATTGCTATCACCCTGAGTGATTTGAATTCACTCAAGTGGGAAACTGTGGCTCCCCTATTCAAGCTGAAGCTACAGTGACAAGGGTTCTAGTCATAACAAGGAAGATCTGCCATGTTTCCTTGATTCCAAAGCACTCAATGGCAAGAACTCTAGAGGATAAACTCACTGTCAAATATCCGAGGGTCAGAATGGTGGGTGGACTCAAAGAGAACAGAGACCACAGCATTAACCGTAGTTAAAAATAAGCAGCCCACTGAAATTGCCTGTTACTACAATGATAATGAACTTATCTATCCTTTTATCACCAGAGAATTTGCCTTACTGTTTTTAGGCAATTCAATTAAACACTATGTAAAACATCAAACTGTATATGAGAAAATGTGGGGAGCTGGTATTTCTTTCTTTTTTTAATAATAGTCAATTTTAACATCATTTTGTGACTTTTTCCATCTCAGTTTTAAATCCCTGTGGGCTTCTCATCACCAAATCACCCATGTACCATCACCATAATTCAATGTACTTCTCTCCCTGTCCCCCCATTTTTGATCCCATTCCCCACTCCACTCCTGTAAAATGTCTCTGGTGTATAGTTGCTCATTATTATTATTTTTCTCCCCTGCTCCTTTATACTCCTGCTATGAGTGAAACCAGTATTTTTCCTTTTCCTTTTTTTTTTAAAGGTTTATTTATTTGTTGAGACTTAACCCCCAAACTACCAGGGAGGCCCTCATCATCTGTTTTATAACAGATTCCTTAACACATTTCAAATATGTTTGGAGATAATAGATAATAGTTAAGAACAGATAGATCATAAAAAAGAATATCTTGTTTTCATGCTTACTCTACAAGTTGTCATTTTTCTTATATACGTCTATGCTTAAACTACTTTTGACTAGTAACTCATTATTGTGGAAAACATTAAATCTGGGAGGATATGGAGGCAATGAAATATGGCTAATTCTGGATAGTCTGATGATATCTTGTGCTAACTTTTTATTTTATAGCTTCGATAAAACAAGGATGGTGTTTATCATACAGAAAGCTTCACTTAGATTGTTAATATGTTAAAGGCACTAGCATTCTATCAGCTCGAAAATACTGGGATCTGACTTCTATCTACATCCCCACATCCTTTCCAACAGCAAGTCCTATCAACCTTAGTTGTAAAGTACATTTGAAATCTGACCATTTCTCACCCACAGTTCCTACTCTGGTCCAAGCCACCAACAAAAAAGCAACAAAAACAAAAAAGTAAGAGCACAAAACCTTCTCTTCAACTCTTAATCATGAAAATACAAAAAAATCCGTGAACTTCTAGATGCATTATACGAGGTAGAAAGAGATGACTATTTGTGTTTACTATGATGCATGCATTTGGTTTCTGGCACAAATAAAGGTCAGGAATATTTTTTTGTAACACTGTTAGTTCAGTCACATCACTGTTGGAAGGTCTTCTTTCCTGTGCAAATGACAAGCCACTGAAATATATGTAGGTAATGTGACTCACTAGAAAGCAAGGAGAACAGACAGAAGTACTTTACAGGAGATACTCAATATTCTTCATGAACTCAGGGTGAACAAGACATTTTCTGCCTTATGCTTTTTAAATCTTGGTATTTAATTTCAATGATGATTGTCCATATAAGGTAAATAAACATTAGCTGCCATATTAACATGAATAAGATGCAGTCTATCCCCTCAAGGAATTTGGAGTTTAATGAGGAAGACAACGAACAGATGAAGTTGGGACTAGAGTCAGGAATATAGGGTAACACCAAGAGCACAGGGAATTAGAGGGATGACCCTGCACACAGCAGTGTGTGTGGGTTTCTGGGAAGTTTTACTGGACACAGGAATGTGTCTAAGGAAAGTCAGAGCTAACCAAGTTGCCCGCCCTTCAGTTTCCCATCAGTAATCTGATGTTTATTCTTTGGATATGGTCCAAAAGGGTAATCTTTCCTCTAGTTTTGTGGGCAGGGGGTGGGCCATGGTGTGCTTAGAAGTGAGAATGCAGCCTCCTGACAGGGTTGCTGCCAGACTCTAGCTCCCACTCACACGCAGCAGCACTAGACCTACAGTCTCCTCCCCATTCTGCTCCCCTCTGCTTCGCTATTGACGCTCTGTGTCAACTTCCAGGGCAAGTAAAGTCACACTGTAGTGAAAAACCTCTGTCAGCTTACTCTCTTCTAGGAAACATCCTCTATCTGCAACTATATTGATTGGTCTTTTTCGTACACAGATTAGTGATAGCCACTCATTTTTGAAAGTGAAATGTTTTAGCAGTAAAAATAAATCACAAACTGTATAACAGTGGTTACAGAAGGGGAGAAGATGGGCAGTGAGTGGGTAAGTCTGGTAAAGGGGTCAATTGCATGGTGGTGGGTAGAAACTGATTTTGATTGTGAACACAATGTAGTCTATATAGATGTTGATTTATAAGGCTGTACACCTGAAACCTGTATAATGTTATAACCAATATTACTTCCAAGAATTGGAATACTAAAAATATCAACATTTTAAATTAACATAAAAATCTGTGATTAACACAAAAGTTGGGATGGCAGTTACCTCATAACATGAGGGGCAGGAATATGATTGGGAAGGGACACATAAGAACTGCCAAAGGTAGATTCTACTACTTAAGGTATGTGTAAGTGTTTGCTTTATTGATGTAGTCTTATCTATACATAAATCACTTCATAATTATATCTGAAGAGGCATGAGCCTGTTCCCCTACATCATATCCAATATTGTAAATGATGTTACATTAACAACAATAAGAAGTTGGGTAAAATAAAGGAATAAGGATGATGAAAAGGGAAATGTGTGTGTAAAGATGGGCAAAGGCTTTACAAAGATGTTTGCTTTCAGGCTTCCCTGGTGGCACAGGGGTTAAAGTACAGCACTACAAAGTTATCCTTAGCCACTGCAGCACAAATTCAATCCCAGCCAGGGAGGTGACCCACATGGCACAGCAGACCTCTCTTGTCTCACTCACTGCTCCCTTCATTGTATTTCAGTCAACTTGCCTGTTCTGCTCCCTACTCTTTCCCTGGTGAATCCTCTCACCCCTGGTCTCTGTCCTGTACCCCAGTTCTTGTATGCATGAACAAGTAAATATTTTTAAAAAAGTCTGCTTTCCTTAACATTTTCTAAAATGGCCTGCTATCTCTAATTTAGTTCAAAACATTAATGATAAGTAATTATTTATCTGTGTAAGAGGATTTGTTAAGAAAATACTTTGTGAATTAGATGTGGGGCTTACACTACTTCAGAAGGAACTTCCGGACATGAAGGCTGCATAGCACTGGCAAATGCAGCATAAAAGGGCTTGTATTAAGGTCCAACCAGAGAGCAGGTGCATTTAATGGAGCTGTGGGAATTATGTGTTTTACAAAATAAAGTCAAGGAAGTTGCCGCTATTTCAGTTAGGAAG